ATGGGGAGTGGAAGTGGAAGATATTGGAAGTGGAAGATATTGAACATTTCTTAAATGACTGTCCAGCATATACTGAACTGCGATACTGATATTTATATCCAATATTATCCAACTGCAGGTCCCCCAAAAGAAATGATCTTCTGACATTCCTCTTGCAAGGACAGGAAAGATCCACCATAATCAGAGTAAGCCTTTTTATTCTGAAAGCTATCAAGAAAAGAGCGCATTTCCTGAAAGAACCAGGAAAATAAGATTCTGACTGTAAATAGAAGGTCAGCTGCTGTCCTTTCCTTCTTGCCTTGTTTTTATTTGTGTTGTATTTTGAAATAGTCATATGACTGGTCAAATAAATGTGTTATTATTATTATTATTATTATTATTAATCACATGACATATCAATTGCACCAATTCAAGTATAAATACAATAAATACAATAAAACACTTAAAAGAAAACCAAAGTGGGCTGATGACATATCAATTAAACAATCAATTAAACAATTCAAATATAAATACAATAAAACAACTTAAAAGTAAACATTCAATCCTCACCGAAGTTGGCTGATGGAATAACAAGGACTTGACAAGGAGATGCTCACGACAATGTTTTTAAGGCTTTGTATGGTTTTTTATATTTTTAGATTTTATGCTAAATGTTTTTAACAGTATTTTATGATTGCTTTATTTGTTTATATTTGTTGAGGCATCAAATCGTTGCCAATTGTGAACCACCCTGAGTCACCTCTGGGCTGAGAAAGGCGGTACATAAATGTGGTAAATAAATAAATAAGCGGCCAGAAGCAGCAGGCAACAGGTGAGGCAGGGGGAAACCTGAAAACGAGCACCTGCACAGGTGTTCCAATATCTGGATGATTGTCGGCGTGGCCATTAAAGTAGCCACATGGCAAGGCCCCGCCATGGAGGCACCCTATGCAGGTGTTTCGGCAGCAGCGCGGTCATTAAAATAGCTGTGCAGCTAGGCTGCAGGGACCATGTTCTTTCCTTGGAGACTGCTGGGTCAGCTGGCTGGACTGAAGTACTGGCTGCAGGTCTCCTCGTGGGTAAGCCTAGGGCTGAGCACGCAGCAAAGCTGGATGGCAAATACTCAGGCCCCAGCATCTCTCCTGCAGCAGGGCTCACCAAAGCTCTACAGTGTAGAATTAATACAGTTTGAAGCTGCTGTGGCTCAATGCTATGGCATCCTAGCATAAGTGCTATGGCATCCTAGGAGAGGTGCTTTGAATGCAATATTCCTGCTTCTTGGCAGGGGATTGGACTGGATGGCCCATGAGGTCTCTTCCAACTTATGATTCTAAATAGTTTGGTCAGCAACCAGAACTCTTTAGCACAGAAGGCTAGAGACCTTGCAAAACTCCACCACCCATGATTCCTTAGCATTGAGCCATGGCAGTAAGGTGGTGTCAAACTGTTATTAATTCTACACCGTAGATGCATCCTTTGCCTCATCATTCTCTTTTAGCCTGAGAGCTAAAGTAGGTACAGCTAAGATAGAGTTGGGGTGGAGGCAGAGGTGAAGAACGCCATACTGAGTTAACTGAACAAAAAGCAGAATATCAGTATTATTAATAAATAAACAGATATAATAAAGGAACAAACAAACTCCTTCACTTGACCAGTTACATGTGACAAGGAAGCTGAATTTGTATGGCATTCTAAGCACAACACAGAAATAATTGTTTCCAGGAAGGCTATGAACTGTGGCTCATTCAGGAAGGCATAACAACAAACATTTAACGAGGCTATGTTTCATCAGCAGAAGACTATAATTTGGAGCATAGGAAAAACTTGTCATGTAAACAGTCCCAGGGTAAGTCCAGATACATGTGTGCGCCTGTGTGTATGTGCCTTCAAGGCACCTGTCCATTTATGGCAACCTCATAAATTTAATAGGACTTTCTTTGGCAAGGATTACTCAGGGGTGCTTTTGCCAGTTCCTTCCTCTGAAACACAGCCCACAGCACTCGTATTGGTTGCCAGTCTCTCACTTGCTAACCAGGGCTGACTCTACTAGTGATGCCTCTCAACTTACGGCAACCTTGTGAATTTCATAGGATTTTGTTTAGGCAAGGAATACTCAGAAGTGGTTTTATCAGTTCTTTCCTCTGAAACATACCCCACAACACCTGGGATTTGTCAGCAATCTCTCATCTAAGTGCTAACCAGGGCTACTGATCAGTAAGGCTTTTGTTTGAAGCCTTGGAATAGTTACTGTTGCTAACACAACCATTGGCCTCATTCAGGCCCCTTCCACACTGCCCCCATACCCCAGAATCTGATCCCAGATTATCTTCTTATCCCAGATTATCTGGCAGTCGACTCATATAATCGGATCCTGGGATAGAAGGCAGTGTGGAAGGGGTCGCAGAAGGCACAATGTTTTGTTTTTCCATTTCAGAACCCAGAGCAACTGTTTGGGAGCACTGAAGGGAGGGGGGGGGTCCTCCTTGCCAGCATAAAGCTCCTGCAATCCCCCTCCCGTAGGTGTTACAAGGAAGCACAAGGAGGTTATGTCCAGGTATGTATATGTGTTTCAAGGTGTCTATGGACTTACAGCAACCCAGTAAGCCACTAGTGACTCTGTAAAGATGAAGATATTGATGATACTTGGAATACAGCTACTGTTGCTAACATGACTGATTAGACAGACCAGCTGCTTCATTCAGAAAGCCCACTGTGGAGGCAATAGCTTTATAAAGCTATTATCCTCCCAAACCTGCTATATGCCTGCAAAAAAGTGGACTGTCTACAGATGTCACATGCAACTCCTGATACGATTCCATCAGCGTTGCCTCCGAAAAATCCTGCAAATCTCTTGAGAAGACAGGCAGACAAATGTCAGCATGCTGGAAAAAGCAAAGACCACCAGCACTGAAATGATGGTCCTCCGCCATCAACTCTGCTGGACCGGCCACAATGTCCGAATGCTGGACCACCATCTCCCAAAGAAGTTGCTCTACTCCGAACTCAAGAACGGAAAATGAAATGTTGGAGGGCAGGAAAAGAGATTTAAAGATGGACTCAAAGCCAACCTTAAAAACTGTGGCATAGACACCGAGAACTGGGTATCCCTGGCTTTTGAGCACTCTAGCTAGAGGTTAGCTGTGACCAGCAGTGCTGTAGAATTTGGAGAGGCACAAATGGAGGGCGAAAGAGAGAAACATGCCAAGAGGTTGGCACATCAAGCCAACCCCGACCGAGAACGCCTTCCACCTGGAAACCAATGCCCTCACTGCGGGAGAACATGCAGGTCAAGCATAGGGCTCCACAGTCACCTACATGCCCACCACCAGGACACCAAACTTGAAGGACAATCTTACTCAGAGGAGGGATCACCTAAGTAAGTAAGTGTTGAGGCACTTTTTAAAGAAATGGTCAGATCCCTGAGCTACTGTTTGGGGGTGCAGGTCGAACAGGTGGGTTCCTCTATGCCAGCACACAGCACCCCAAATCCTCCAGATGGCACAAGGAGCCTTCAACTCACGGTTATGTCCACCATCCTGGTATGTATAGGTGTCTTCAAGGCACCTGAGGACTTATGGCAACCTTGTGAGTCCACAGACACATTATGATGGGGAAGGGGATTGAAGCAGTTAGGAATGGTGGGAGTTGAAGTCCAAAACACCTGGAGGGAGGGCCCAAGTTGGCCCATGCCTGGATTAGATACATCACTGGGAAGCACTGCACTAATTTTAGCCTGATCCCAGTTTGACTGTTATTCCAGCCTATTGTTTTAAGATGTTGTTCTGATTGCGTTTATGTTTTTCTTTGATTGTTTCTAATGCTGTTTTATCTGTAATGAGGGCTTGCTTCCTTGTAAGCTGCCCTGAGACCCTTCGGGGCGATGGTGGCTGGGTATAAGAATAAAGTTATTATTATTATTTGAAACACAACAAGATGAGTCCACAGCAGACACTCTGCTGGCTGATGTATTGGATCACACGTCGGACACTTCCCAAGTGTCTAGGACTGTGTGATGTATCGGTGAATAATCCGTGCAGATCCCAGTAAGGTGGCCTTCTGCAGCTGGCAGATGGTCATTTTGTCAGCGCCAATTGTGTTTAAGTGCAGGCCAAGGTTTTGAGGCACTGCACCCAGTGTGCTGATCACCACCTTAACTGGTTTTTGCCAAAGTCTTTGAAGTTCAATCTTTAAATCCTCATATCATGTCAGATTTTCCAGTTGTTTCTCTTCAATCCTGCTGTCATCTGGGATTGCAACATCGACGATCCATACTTTGTTTTTTGACTTGATTGTGAGGTCAGGAGTATTGTGCTCCAAAACTCTGTCTGAATTCAGAAGTCCCAGAGTAGTTTGACCTGTTCATTTTCTGTAACTTTTTCAGGCTTGTGTTCCCACCAGTTCTTTGTCGCAGGCAGAAGGTATTTGTGGCACAAGTTCCAATGGATCATCTGAGCCTCTGCTTGTAGTCTGTCTACATGATCTTCTAGCAGCAGCTGAGGATGTCATCTATTGTTTCATCTGCTTCCTTGCAGAGTCTGCCCTCGACTTTTCAATTCTGGCTTTGATGGCATTTGTTCTAATGGCTTGTTCTTAGGCTGCCAGGATCAGGCCCTCCATCTCCTTTTCCAAAGTTGTTGCTGTTGTTATTCAGAAAGGACATGGTGGGGGCTCTTGTTTTGTTTTCTTATTTCTGACCCCCTGTTTGGGGGACTCCACCTCAGGAGCAGGCAGCACCCCGAACCCCTTCTTCCCCTTGGCGACACAAGGAGCCTCTGACTCAAGGAGCCAAGCTTCTTGGGAACTGGGGAAAGCTGTTCCTTCTTCATCCCCGGAAGCCTTCCTGGCGCCGGGCTGCTTGGGGGCACGGGCTTCGAAGGGAGCAATTAGGCAGCCCAGGGCTCCCAATTCCCTGAGGTTGGGAGGGGGGGGCACGGGTGGTGCGCCTGCGCGTTCGCTCTGCCTTGGCTTGTCCCCATTCCCACGTGCGCCCGCTCCTTCCCTCCCTCTCTCCCTCCCTCCCCGCCCCAGGAGGAGGAGGAGGAAGAAGAGGAGGAAGAGGGAGAGGGGGGAAAGCAGAACCCGGCGCGCTGCGCCGAGGACGCACAAAGCATTAGGAGGCAGCCGCTTTCCAAACGAAGGGAGGAAAGAGCAAGAGAAGCGAGGAAAGAGCCTTCTCCTCCTGGTTCTCCTCCAGCTTCCCCTCCAGGTTGGAAGGGCCCATGAGTCGGCGTCGCCCCGCTCCCTCGGATTCACCCCGCTTTGGATCCGCGGGGATGAAATGGTGCTGAAAGGAGGACCGAGTTGCACCGCATCCTTCGCCCCATAGAAGAAGACGAAGAAGAGGAGGAGGAGGAAGGAGAGCGATGCCGCAAGGCACGGCGGCGCCCGGATCCGCCACTGATCCCCGGTTACAAGCGGGAGGATCCCCGGAGCAGGAGATCCAGCCTCTCCTCCGCCTTTGAGAAGCGAGAGAAGCCGCCGGAGAGGAGGGCAGCGGCGTCGGGGCTGGAGCCTCCTCCCTGGGCGCCTCTGGGGCGCTCGTTTGCCTCGGATCTCCTGCCTTCCTTGCCTGCCTGCCTCCATCCCCGCCGCCGTTGCGTTTACTGGATGCGTATGAATGAGTTCTGCACCGAATGGGCGCAAAAAGCGCCCCAGGTCGGCGGGCTCCATCTTCCAGATCAGCAAAACGCCGCTGCAGGGAGGCCGGGAGGCTGAGCGCCGGGGAAGCGCCTCCGAGGGAGCCCCCAAGACCCAGAGACTGGCCCTGGACGACTGCAAGATGGTGGGTACACACAGGCAGGCAGGCAGACACGCAAACACGCAGGCAGACAGGCAGAGCCAAACACGCCAGGCAGAGCAGACGAGGCGGGAGACTCTTACCGACCTCCCCAGTCGGGGCTTCTTGGTTGCGCCTTTGGAGACTCGCTTCCTGCCCCTCCATCCCTCTTCCCATCCTTCCTTCCTTCTTCTCTTCCTCTCTCTCTTTCTGTTTTCTCTTTCCCTTCCTTTCTCCATTCCGATCACGTGCAGTTGCACTATTTTTAAAACTGCAGTCCGCATTTTGAGTTGACACCTTCCTTCTCTTCTCTCCCCTCTTGAAAAGAAGGCAGATAACTTCATCACACTAGAGAATCAATCCACTTCAAATCCGGATCCTGTCTCCTGCAGAATTCTGAGGTTTATAGTTTAGGGAGGCTGTTCAAGGCTCCTCCCTAAACTACAAACACCAGAATTCTGCAGAAGACAGAAACCAGATTTGAAGTGGCGCAGTGGGTTAAATCGCTGAGTTGCTGAACTTGCTGATTGAAAGGATTCGAATCTGGGGAGCGGGCTGAGCTCCCACTGTTAGCCCCAGCTTCTGCCAACCTAGCAGTTCATAAACATGCAAATGTGAGTAGATCATTAGGTACTACTCAGGCGGGAAGATAACTGCACTCCATGCAGTCATTCTGGCCACATGACCTTGGAGGTGTCTACAGATAACACTGGCTCTTCAGCTTAGAAGCCAGACACAACTGGACTTCATGTCAATGGAAAATCTTTACCTTTAGCTATTCTTTGGTGTGATGAGTAGCATCTCATCTCGTCCCCTCTTGAAAAGGAAAAAGATAGCTACATTACACCAGAGAATGAATCCACTTCAAATCCGGTTTCTGCTTCCTGCGGAATTCTGAGGTTTGTAGTTTAGGGAGGCTGTTCAAAGGCTCCTCCCTAAACTACAAACCCCAGAATTCTGCAGGAGGCAGATATCAGATTTGAAGTGGTGCAATGGGTTAAAGCGCTGAGCTGCTGAACTTGCTGATTGAAAGGGTTTGAATCTGGGGAGTGGGCTGAACTCCCATTGTTAGCCCCAGCTTCTGCCAAACTAGCAGTTCAAAAACATGCACATGTGAGTAGATCAATAGGTACCACTCCGGCGGGAAGATAACAGCGCTCCATGAAGTCATGCTAGCCACATGACTCTGGAGGTGTCTATGGACAACGCCAGCTCTTTGGCTTAGAAATGGAGATGAGCACCAACCCCCAGAGTCAGACACGACTGGACTTCATGTCAGGGGAAAATCTTTACCTTTACCTATTCCCTAGTGTGATGAGAGGCAGAGACTGGATTTAAAACCCCTTCCTCTTCTCCTGTGCCCCAAACTTGCATCTGTCAACAAGTCTGGACTGCTGGGAGGGGGCATTGGGATGTGGAGAGGGGAGAGAGAGGAGGAGACTAGCTTCCTGCCCTCTTTCCTTCCTTCCTTCTTCTCTTCCTCTCTCTCTCTCTCTCTCTTGCTTTCTCCTCCAATATTGTCCAGGGAACAATATTCAGCTTCCTTTGATGTTGGGGAGCCTCCACAATGTGTTTGCTCAATGAGACCAGTGATCTATCTCATTCATGCCTGGGCCATCTTGGGCCTTCCAGGGTTTTGGACTTCAAATCCCACCAGCCACAGGCCTCTTGCTGTTGGGGAGATCACATAGTTGGTTACCAGGAACTCAAGGCTGCACAAAATATCCAGCATCAAGTGCAGGTAAAGACCCAACTCAGGTTGCCAAATAGAGAGGTGACAAGTCGGGTTTTTATGGCACACATGGATTCTAAATGACTCACCAGACAGAGAAGCAGGCATCTCTAGGCTTGGTTTGGCTTAAATTGGCCCATTGGAGAACCAGCAATGGTTCAAGCATGGGCCAGCTTGTGCCCTCTAGGTGTTTTGGACTTCAACCCCCACCATTCCTAACAGTCTCAGGCCCTTTCCTTTCGAGGGGGGGAAAGGAAGGGGACAGAGGCTGTTAGGAATGGTGGGAGTTGCAGTCCAAACGCCTGGAGGGCCAAAGTTGCCCCATGCCTGGCTTAGATGCTCCTGCAAAGTCCCAACCAGTTGAGTTCACCACTTCATAGGTTTCCAAAAACTAATTGATTGTGACCCTAAAGCTGCCTTATCACAGGTTTTCTTGACAAGCTTTGCTCTTCCTCATCTTCCTCCAAGGCTGAGAAAGTGTGGCTTGCAAAAGGCCGCCCTGTGTGTTTCCAGGATTCAGAACCCTAATTTCCAGAGTCTGAATCCAAGCTCAAAATACTACATACACCACACTGGCTCACTGTGCAGGGAAACTACCCACCGTGAGGGATGATGCTCAAGCTGTTTATTTAAGAGGAAACATTTTGTACATCACCGCCCGAGACATTGTTGTAAAGCATTCAGGGAGAGAAAGTTAAAACACAATGTAAAGAATCTTATTGTATCGGAGTAAGAAAGGAAATAAGCCTTCGACAATACAATAAGCCTTTAGGTTGTAATTTGCTAATTTCATGTCTGTTCCTCCCTTTTGGGGGACTTTGTGTGTGTATATATATGTTTATAATATGTGTGTGTGTGTTTATAATAAATATATCTGTGTGTGTGTGTATATATATATATATGTACACACACAGAGAAGAGAGAGAGAGAGAGAGAGATCTGTTATATTTATATATGTATGTATGTATGTATGTTTGAGCCATGGTAGCACAGTGGGTTAAACTGCTGAGCTGCTGAACTTGCTGACTGAAAGGCCAGTGGTTCAAATCCAAGGAGCGGGCTGAACTCCCACTGTTAGTCCCAGCTTCTGCCAACCTAGAAGTTTGGCACATGCAAATGTGAGTAGATTAATAGGTACTGCTTCTGAGGGAGGGTAATGGTGCTTCATGCAGTCATGCTGGCAACACGATCTTGGAGGTGTCTAAGCACAACCCCTGCTCTGACTTAGAAATGGAGATGAGCACCAACCTCCAGAGTCAGACATTACTCAACTTAATTTCAAGGGAAACCTTTACCTTAACTATGTATATTACTTTTTATAGTGAGGATAATAACACTTAACACCACTGTGATCTTTGAAAAGCTGGGTATCAGCTGGAAAAGAAATGCTTCATGAATGTTTACAGAGAACATTTGGGCTGCAGTCTACACAGCAGGACCTACTTTTGCAAAAACACCTAGGACTTCACAGCTGCACTCAGCTTTTCATTTCTCTTGAGTCCTGAACAGGTTACAAGTAACTGTCCTTGAGCTGAAGTTAGAGAAAAATCTGTTCTTCACATTTGAGCTTGAGAAATTGCAAAACTGTTGTTTTGCCCTTGAGAAATAATATTTATTTATTTTTTAGAAATAGAAAGAAGCCATTTTATCTTAGAAAAATAGGCTTCTTTTTGAGTTATTACAGACTGTGTGGGCTACTCAATGTTTCAAATATCACAGTAGACATCCTACTCTGTGCCAAAATTGGAAAAACCCAGTGGTTTTATTGGTGACGTCCAGTTCTGGAATACTGGGCCTGAAATAGCACCTTTTTCAGCAGCAAAATATAAGGGGCTTAATTTAAGTGAATTTTTAAATTTGGGATATATTATAATTAAGGATTATAATATTTGTATTATAAATTTGGAATATATATATTATATATATATATATATAGGCATATATTAAAATTAGGGATTATGATATATATATATATTATAAATTTGGAGGTATATTATAATTATAAATTCTTAAATTTGGGATATATTATAATTATAATATCCATGTTTCTGTGCCACAACAAAACTGTTGCACTGAAATTGAAGTGCTCTTAAAACAGTCTTATTATGTTTGTTTCCTTAGAAGCAAATATTTCAGTGAGCTTATTCCCACAGAACTATGCAGATATGAGAGGTCTCATTTGTGAGGGGGAGGGAATTGAATTAATCCCAGAAAGGCCTCAATAATATATGGATTTAATATTTATATTTGACTTGAGCTTGAAATCAATACCTCTTTATCCCATTTCCAACATTTTTTTTTAAAAAAAACCCTTGGATAGTAAAAGCTTCTTTCTGCAAAAGGCTTTCATGTAAGAGACCACGAAGGCCAGAAAATAAATGTTTACTGTTTTCAGAAATGCAGCCTGGGATTCGCAGGGTTTTCTCAAGGCTCTCCCAGCTTCCCAGAAGAGCTTTTGATGCTAGTGTTGCTGAACCTTGATTTGGGCAATCCGTCAAATGCGATTTTCTCCCTCCCTCCCTCCCCCCCTCCCCCCCTCCCCTCTCTCTTTTTATGAGGCCAAAGGATTTTTCCGATCTGAAAGGAAAAGAGATGGAAGATTAATTTTCACTCCACAACACTTCCACACAATAATCCCCTGGGACCTTAATATATTGGGTGGATAATCCCACTTTGCAGTAAATCCTTGTAATTTCTTTGTGGAACAGCCACAGTTACTACCAGATCTGGTAGATATGTGTTGATATTTTAATTAAGTGCAGTTAACAGCAATGATTTATAATATGCAGTAGGAGCAGGACTGTTGAGATAAGGAAGTCTGGGATTATGGTCCATCGCATAGCTCACATTCAGTTTGAGATTTCCTTTCTGGGGAATTTAGGATCCTTACACACTTGGAAGTGATATACGGTAGTTAGTTTCCTCTTTTATGATAGTTTGAGAATTGAATTTAAGTCTAGCTCTGGCAAGATCTGTCTTGTTCCTTCTTCCCCAAGGAGACATTTTGAAACTGGTAATGCTTTTCCTTCCTCGTGTGTATTCCTTGGACAGATTTTTTCCATCTGCACAAAATAAAGGTTCAGCAATGACAGTTAAGCTGAAGAAAGCAATAATCGTCTTGATGAGCACTGGGCTTGTAATAATGTTTCTGAGAAGTGCAAAAATGACTATTCTGCTTTGATCCTGGCTTCACTGAAGGGTGCTTGCCTATTTGTCTGTTTTATTTGACAGAGTCCAAAGTGTTTGCAGGAACGCTAATTGAGAGGGACTTTTTCCTCATATATGTCTCTTTATTAGCCAGGAAGTCTAGATTTTTTAGTCTGTTGAGAACTGCATTGGAACTGCAAGGAAAATAATGCCAACATCCATTTAGCAGAAACCAGTGCAGAAAAGTGAGTGGCACATTCCACTCCCTAGAAGGCCGGCAAGTTGCAAATCAGTGGGAAGAAAATGGAGAGAACTATTTATGGAAATGTTATCTTCTTTCATGATAAAATAATCCTTTGCTTCCAGAAGCAGAAAAGCTGGGTTTTATGCCCTGTGGCAATGTTTTAAATACATTCCCAGTGATTTTAAAGCTAGTAGGACATTCCTTCTCCCCCATAATGTACACTCTTCATATACAAAGGACAACACCAACATCTTTGATCATCATATATATCAGTGGTGGACCGTGAGACCTAAAATAAGTTTCCGAGGCTCTAGATTATTAACTATGATTTACTGTGGGCGAGCAGATGCCAACTACTGGATGGCATTTGTTCTGTATCAGAAAATAGAGCTGATGTTGTCTATCCAGTGGAATCTTCTGAATCAGCACCCCAAATAACCAAACCGAATCTAAAGTGGACCAAAAACTGATTCGTAACCCTTTTGGTACTAATGTTGAGAGTGGTCCCTGGTCAAAAAAAGGTTTGGAACCACTGATATATATCATTACAGTGTTCCCTCACTTATTGCGGGTGTTACAATCCAGGACCACCCATGATAAGTGAAGATCCGCAAAGTAGGGATGCTATATTTATTTTAATATTATTTTAATATTTATACATTATTTTAGTAGTTATACACTTTTTAAAGTCTTTATAAACGTATAATAAACCCTGTTTCTGTTTTACTGAGTACTCCACCACCACCACCACCACCCCACCCCCGCGGCTCCCACCCCCGCCTCCCTGTCAGTGCGGTGGCTGCGAAGGAAGGAAGGAAAGAAATTAAGCCCTCCTTGCCTTTTCTTTCATCGGGCGAAGAGAGAGAGAATGAAGGAAAGGCCCTTCAAAGCTGGAGGGAGAGAGGACTGAGGAGGGAAAGTGCCTCGGAGAGCAGCGAAAATACCACAATATATATTTTAAATTAATATTTATTGAAAAACCGCAAAACAGCGAGTCCGCTAAAAGTGAACCACAAAGTAGCGAGGAAACACTGTACTGAGGCTGATGTTTGTTCTGTTTCGAGTCTAAGATTACCAGCTGTGGTGGATAAGGATGTGTTAGAAATGCTGGTTCATCTTACAATGCAGTGAAGTCTCTTATACTAGTAAACAGCCTTCTTCTTTTTTTTTCCAGCTTGTCCAGGATTTTAACACCCAGGTGGCTCTGTACCGTGAATTGGTCATTTCCATTGGGGACGTTTCCGTCAGTTGTCTATCTTTACGTGCTGAAATGCATAGAACTCGAACCAAAGGATGTGAGATCGCCTACCAGGCACACCAAAAGCTGTCAGCAATCTCTGGGTAGGAGTCCCTTTCTCTCCCTTTCCCTATTTCTAGTCTCTATGGTATGAGTTTCCGGGTTACTTAAAAATGCTCGCTGAGGCCCCATCTATACTGTCCATGCAATGCAGCTTCAAACCAGAATTGAAGAAAGTGATTTCTCAGGGCAAGTGATTCAAACTGAGAATCAGTTTGAGTCCTGGATGATGAGAAGTACACAAATCAGAGAACACTGATGCGCATGAAGGGCTTTCTTTCGCACACTTTTATGGGTGTTTGTTGTCTGGCTGTTGCACTTTGCAGCTAGCTTCCAACTGCATCTAATGCTCAGTATAGATGGGGCTTGAGACTAGCGGAAATTGCATTAGCTTATGGCATTTTATGTAGCACCATTGTTACTTGTTTAATTCCTCTTTTCAGCAGTTCAGCACTTACCTTTGGTATATGTGAAGATAATATCGTAGAAAAACATGTGATTTTTAAGTTCTACCTTAATATACAGGTGACTAGTTTGGGTGTGTGTAGTAGTGAAGGTACATATCAGTTCTCATGTATCAAAAGTGTATTTCATACCACTTTCCCATTTCTCCAACACTGCTGTGAGTGAAAGAGGACAATAAGAGCATATCTGCATTAGCTCTTGATGTTTTACATCTCTGAGGAGACCCTAAGGGCCTTCAGCACAGGGTTTCCAGGGTTATTTAGAAGAAAGCTGATTCATTTAAACTGATGTAAAATGGATATATATCAGAGGTAGGAAGTTAAACTGCTAATTAGCCTGAGGGTGCTACTTTGTGAATTGATGGTGATCCCAAAGAGGAGTGAGATTTGATTTTAAAGTTCATAGGAAGCTATAAAGCACTGCTTCTGAAACCCCCTTTAGCCCAGTGTTGGGGTACGAAAAATTTGGCAACAGTACAAGTTTTCTGAATGTCGCCCTAGTAGCTGTTGTAAACATTTACTCAAATCAGTTGCACGTTGTTTACAGTGGACTCTGCAAAAGATGCTTGAGCTGTACTCCATGAAAAGGAAAATAAGCCTGTTTAGCAAGCCTTGTAACTGCTGATTTATTATCAGTAGCTCTGGCACCACGAGATGCAGTGCTAACCTTAAGAAATGGGCTACAATGTGGAGTCCACGACATGTGAGTGTGGAGAGGAGCAAACCACAGACCACCTGTTACAATGCATTCTGAGCCCTGCCACATGCATAATGGAGGACCTTCTTATAGCAACACCAGAGGCACTTCAAGTGGCCAGCTACTGGTCAAAGGACATTTACTATAATGCCAAGTTTTAAAACTTTGTGCTTTTTAAATACATTACAACTGTACCCTCAATTTACTTTTGATATGATAAATAAATAAATCAGTAGATGTTTGATTTTTATACCTGTTTAATGTACTTATATGCCCAGCATCAGACAAAATTTCTCAGGTGGAAAGTGATCACAAGTGGGAAAAAGTTTAAGAAGTCCTGCTATAGAGCATGGGTGGGCAAAAGTGTGATCTTGCAACACATGGGATTCCCCTCCTCAAATTGTTTTGGGGGTCCTGGCTTTACCAGATGGCCCATTTTCTTGCCCAAAAAAGGAGAAGGTGCCTTTTCTGGAGTCACCTTTTATAAATATATTAGTCTGTTTTTCTCTTGCTTGAGGACACAATGAAAAAACTATTTTCAAAAGCAGTAGTAGGCTTTTATGGTGAGGAGTGTTGTTAGCAATCTGTTAGGGATTTGAGGAAGTAAACTGGGCACCAAATGTGGCCACACTTACTCCAGAGCAATGTTATTTGACTGACCTATGTGTGCCTTTTCATAGACTTTGGCTGTTAACTAGGCTGTGGCAATTCAGATAACATCATTTGCTTCAAACCAGCTGAATCTCTGTTTCTTTTAAAAAGCAATTACAGCTGAGACAGCGAATCACATCCAGCAAATACAAGACCTATTTGAAAAGGCAATTTGCAGGTACAGTTAGCGCTTGTAAAATCTTCACTTTTGTTTGCTGTACTGACCACTTACTTATCTCTGAAGTGCAGACAGAATTCCAACACATCCGTTTTACTTGGGCTGTTCATTTTTACGCAGGGACTAATTGCACCTGCAGAAAAGGAAGTATAAATCTATCCTTTTGAAATTGTATTCCAGGTGAATAGTGAATATTCAAAAACTGGTATGCTAGATCCCTAATGTCCAATAGTGTCTTCTTGGTGAGCAGATTGAAACACTCCCTGTTTCTACAGGTATTGATACTTAAATTTACATGTTTGGTTGCGCAATGGGTTAAACCCTTGTGCCGGCAAGACTGCTGACTGACAGGTCAATGGTTTGAATCCAGGGAGAGTGGATTGAGCTCCCTCTGTCAGCTCCAGCTCCCCATACGAGGACATGAGAGAAGCCTCCCACAAGGATGGTAAAACATCAAACATCACCTGGGCAACGTCCTTGCAGACAGCCAATTCTCTCATGCCAGAAGCGACTTGCACTTTCTCAAGTGGCTTCTGTCTGACATGAAAAAAAATCTTTGCTTAGTGGGCAGGAGTGTAGGCGTTCCCCATCGGATCACATCAAAGTAAGTAGAAAACAGAGGAACAGTAGAGTGATCATTTAAAGGCTCTGGCTGGCTCTGCACTGCCAAGTAAGGCAGTTTCAATTGCATTAAATGGCAATGTAGATGGTCTGGACAAGGAGGGCTGCTCGGAAAGTGACCTCAATTGATCTATCAGCATCCTTTTTGCTGCATCTAGGTTTCAAATGGCGCAGGAATTACTGAAGCAATGGATGAGGGACATTGCCCTGGGAGAGCTCAGAGCCCACTCAAATTCATCATGTTCCCCTAGATCCTTGAACTTACAGTACACTGAGCCATTCAAGTTATGCAAATATCTCAACAACCTCACAGTGTCTAATTACTGCAGACTCTTCACAAAAGTGAGACTAAATGCATTTCCTTCAGAGCTGCTAAACAGCAGACTATCGGGCATCCCCTACTCCCAAAGGTTATGCCCATGTGGTGGTAATAAAATAGAACCATTAGAACACATCTTGTTGCAGTGTTGCTATTACTCAACTCAACGAGGCCAACTCCTGCACCCAATCCTGACCCGATTATCTAACCATTCCCCACAAGGGAAGGTCAGACATCTTTTGGTGGACAAGCACCATGGGTGACCCTCACGGTGGCAAAGTTCCCCACAGTGGCAACAAGGCTGAGAAAGAGCCTAGTCTCTGACCAGGGTATTACCTGACACTGTGTATTATGTGCCTGTATAGTATATTTCCCTGAATACGAGTTATAGATGCAGGTCCAGGGACCATTATAAAGTTTGTATGTAATATAGATGGGGCCATAGACCCATATAATGCAGCTCGGTACAGTTCAAACAGCATTATTTGGCAGTGTAGATCCAGTCTCTCTCTTTCTCTCTTTAGAGGTGAAAGGGCAGTAAGTTCTTAGAGACCAAACGTGTGCAAGATGATTGTGTGTGTTTTTTTTCCTGTTTTTAAAAGTTGCAGGAAATGCAGAAAGGTTTCCATCATCCACATATTAATTTATTCTCAATATTAGCTGTTGCATGGGGAAGAGGTGGCATAAGCCACAGACTATTGTAAACTCGGTGCAGAATTTGCCACAACCGGTCATAGCAACACCTGGTGACATGTATAATTAACACATTATTCAATGCTTTGGAATAATTGAAATTGCAGTTTTGCAAGGTCTTTAGCCTTTTCTTCCAAACTGCCAGTCCGAGGTTTCCATAGCATTGAGCTACTACAGTTAATGTGGTGTCAAACTGCATTAACGCTACAGTGTAGATGCAGCCATAGTGTGAAATGATGACAGATGTGGTCGAACAACATATTGAAGGCCACATGTTTTACATCCTTGATCTAGAGGTATTTGCATTTCTGAAAAACAAGTGCAATGTTTTCCCCATCTTTGAAATTGTCTTTTCACATCTTACCTATTTCTCCTAACCTAAAAAAATAGAAAATGCTCCTCAGAAATACTCAAGATTCTCTAGCTTGTCATTTTGGGAACCAAAAATAAGGATGACTTTGTTATCTGAGCAGTGTCAAGACTGTCTGAAAGATATGTTCTCTGTGCAAGACACCTTGCCTCTGGGGCCAGCACTTTTCATATGCTCAGAAGTAATGTTTGTCCTAACCACTGTTTATCAAATTCATGTTTTGCAGTGCTAGCATTCAAAGGTGACTTGCATGATACATTTATGTTAACCCTGCTCAGTTAGTGAAAAATATATCATTCTTAGGTATATCACACTTAGAGAGGATCAAGGCATTATAGATTATACTAAACCTAAATTACACTTTCCTTTGGCATGTAATGTTACATAGAAAAGCTGAAATTTTTAACTGTTCCTTTCTTAAGTTGTATAATATGGCCCACATCACAGTATGGCAAGATCAGAATTCCTGGTTTCATTTATCCTCATGACTCTATAGCAGTGGTTCTCAACCTGGGGTCCCCAGATGTTTTTGGCCTACAACTCCCAGAAATCCCAGCCAGTTCACCAGCTGTTAGGATTTTTGGGAGTTGAAGGCCAAAAACATCTTGGGACCCCAGGTTGAGAACCACTGCTCTATAGTATCTTCGCCCAGAAGAACTCAATTTTAGTACAGTGAACTGAGATTTTCCGTATTTATGTGAAGTCTAGGAATACATCCCCAGTGGATAGAAGAAGGCCTTCTCTATTTAAAAAACATTTTGTACATTTCTAGTGAAATGTTCTGCACATTTTGGGAATGGTATGGAAATATACAGAGTGGGCCAAAAGTCACAAAAGCATCTGACGTTTTGAAAATGTTTTTGAAAAGATTTTACATGTAATGTAATGTAGTTTTATTTCCTATATATACTGTATATGATGCTATGGTGTTGTAAATTAAAAACAAAAAATAAAGGCATTATTACATTTTGAAATTCTTTTGTGACTTTTGGCCCACCTTGTAGATCAATGGTTCCCAACCTATGGTTTGTAAACTACCAGTGGTCCCGAA